GGAGAGACCAAGAAGGAAGAATCAATTGCAGCAAAATATTTTTTTTAAAGGCAGAAAGGTAGCTTTATGTATTTTCTCTTTCATTAACCCCCCTCCCCATTCACGCCCTTTCCCAAAAGGTCATTTGCCCCCCCAGGCGAAAAGAAAAAAAATGCGTGGGAGGGAGAGTCGGTTTCCTATGCACTAAATCCAATGCAAGCCGGGGAACCGTGCACGCCGCTCATGTCCTTGCAACGACCCTTCCTCCCCCCGGGGGGGGGGGAAAGAAAAGTAAAAACAACACGCGACGCCCCCCCCCCTTCCATTACCGTGGACGGCCGAGGAAAAACAAAACCCCGCTTTCTCGCGTGCACCTGCTTTAATGCAAGAAGAGGAGCATTGCACGCCGGTGCCCACGTTGCATCGAGCGCTACTTACATCGCGGAGGACGCTGCCTGTGGCGGGCGAGCGGGCGGTCAGTGGCGGCGGCTGCGAGGCTCGCGCTCCCCGAATGAAGCTGTTCGCTTCGGCAGAGGCAGCAAAATGGTGGCCCAGCTGTCACATTTTTTCCCGTGCATTTCAGAGAGGGGAGGAGAGGAGGAGGAGGAGGGAGAAGGAGTCCGCCATCTTGGTCGGCCTCCTTTTCACCCAGACTGGTGAAGAAGGAAGGAAACACAAACCCTAACATTTCAATAAAAATTGATTCAAAATACGACAGCAGCCCCCCACACGCAAATGAAAACAAACATTCAAACGTGGCGTCTTGGAAGTCATAACTTTCATCTTCTTTGAACGACCTTGCGGGATGGAGACTTAGGCAACTGAATGGAACTGAGTGTTTTACTGGACAGATGCCCTTCTTGTTGCCAATGCAGAGTTATATTCAGCAGATGCCATATTTTTGGGACTTTTAAGACGCACTTTCCTTCCCCCACCCCCCCCAAAAAGTGGGTGGAAATGCCTGTGCGTCTTACAGAGGGAATACAGGCCTGTTTTTGGCCTCCCAAACCCTCCACATGTCCCGTTTTTGCCCTCCCCGGTGTTAGAAATAAGTAAATTCAAAAATAAAATAGTATATAAGATGCTTAAAGGTTTTACAAATGGGGGTTGGACTGGATGATCTTCCAGGTCCCTTCCAATTCTATTAATCTGTTATCAAATGAAATACTGTATATCTCCCTGTATATACATGCTTTGTTTTTATACTTTGGACATACTCCATTGTTAAGCCTTTTTATATTTTTATCTTATGTATATGCCTTTTATATTATTATTATGTTTTGGGGGGGGGGTTGTTATAATCTCTTTGGAAAAATTGTAGTAAATGATGAGCTTAGAAAGAGGCCCTGATGAGAGGATGCTACATTCCTTAATGCTAGGGAAAGATGCCATGTGGGCAGCCAAGGTACAGAGGGATATGGATGAGAACATAACCAGGGGTGGGATTCAAATTTCTTAACAACCGGTTCTGTGGGTGTGGCCTAATTTGTGGGTGTGGCTTGGTCATGTGACAGGTGGGAGTGGCTTGCTGACTGGGCGTGGCTAGGTGGTAATGTCACTGGGGTGGGCATGGCCAGGTGGCCATGTGACTGGCAAACCAAATGTAAGTGGTCCTTGCTTAATGACCAGTTGCTTAGCAAGTGTTCTAATTTATGACTGACCTCCACAGAGCTACTTGGCCTGTTTTGGGTGTTTTGGCAGCCACACATACGCACACACCCTTCTAACCCTGCTATTCTTTGATTCTGTAAGGATCTGCTGGAGCAGGGGTTTGGACTAAATGACCTCCGAGATCCCTTGCAGGCCAGCCCAACATTGCTGTGCTGCTTCAAAGTCTTCTGAAGCCAGGGTTTATGTCCTTCCTTCCTCTCCTTTTTTTCTCTCTCCCTCCCTCCCTCCCTCCTTCCATGTATTTATCTATCCATTCATATATGTTGAGGTATTCCCCATTAGGAGAATGAGTGCACTCAGGGAAAACGTAGTGAGAGTGGTATTGAATAACACACAACCAGCATACAGATACACTGAATAGTAAAATGTAGGTTTTACTTCCAGTAAATGGGTAAACAAAGTCCAACAAACAGTCCAAATCATACACGATTAAAGCAGTTAGTATCAGTCCAGTGATAATCCAAAAATGAAGTCCAGTATCATAAACAAAGTTCAGTAAACGGAGTTTGCTAAAGTTGCAAGACTCACAGCAATCCAAGCAGAACGATGATCAGGCAAAAGGCAACAAGGAAAATGCAAGAAGAGAACAAACCAGGTTTCTGGCTCCATCTTATGGCCGTCGGAGGAACCTCAGCCAATCACAATTACAGCACTCTCTTAAGGATACAACAGTATTAAATAACTATCCTGGTTTATATATTGCCAACCCAACTGTTAGGTGACTATCATTCCTAACATTCTCCCCTTTGGGTAGGACAATACATAAAACCTTACAGTTTAAGTCCAGATTCTTCACAGTAAGTCTTATGTTTTACAGTGCCTTGGACTTTCATAAAATGATCTGCAATGTTATTCTCTGACATGCAATACTCCAGTGTAATCATTTTACTTTGAACACATTGTTTCACATTTAGATATCGTAGATCAGTGTGTTTTGATCTTGTCTTTACAGCGAGATTGGAAGCCATCTGAATTGCTGATTGGTTGTCTTCATATACAAACAATGGTTCCTTTACATCAATTCCCATGTCTATCATTAGTTGTTTATAACATACTAAGTCTGTACATAACAGAGACAAACATGAGAATTCAGCCTCCATTGTTGATAAGCTTAGATGTTTTTGTCGAATAGACTGCCATCTAATTAACACCTTTCCTAATCACACTACAGTACCTGACGTTGATTTACATGTAGGTACGTCTGTAGCGAAACTTGCATCGGCATATGCAGTTAAACTTAATTCATCCTTAGGCTCCAAATATAATGCATAATGCATCGTTTGTTTAAGATATCTCAACACATGCTTAGCAGCTTGCCAGAGCCTTTCAGTAGGCTCAGAGTTAAACCTGGCTAATTGGTTGACACTATATGCTATGTCTGGCCTAGACCAGTTACTGAGATAGGATAAGCTACCAATCAATGATTCATAAATGTCTTTATCAAAAACAGGACTTTGCACATCACTGTGGCTAAACTCCTGGCTCATTGGCATCTTAGCCAGCTTACGAAGTTCCATTTTAAAGTTCTTCAGTAACTGGTTATTTTTATCTGCCTGTGAGATTTTGTAGCCTCCCTTAGTTTTCTCTATTTTCAAACCAAGATACTGTTTAATCTCACCTAAATGTTTGATTGTAAATTTCTTCTCTAATGGTGAGATAATCCCAGTAGCTTCTTGATCAGTCTTAGTGATTAATGCTGTGTCATCAGTGAACAACAGCAATAATGAAATTACACCATCACTTTCCTTTTTGAATAAACATGGATCAGCCATGCCAGGTACAAAACCTATCTTTCTTAATTCCTTCACTATGCAGTGGTTCCATTCATAGCCTGATTGCTTCAAGCCATAAAGACTCTTTTTTAATCTCCAGCAATCAGTTTTGTTATCAGTTTTTATCCCTAAAGACTTCTTTAAATATATAGTATGTTGCAATGGTGCATGAAGATATGCCGTCTCCACATCTAAATGGTTTATTGTGTATTTATTTTTAGCTGCCCACACTAATGCTGCTCGTAATGTGGTAGCCTTCAGACTAGGTGCAAACACCTCGTCGTAGTTGTTGGCTAACTGATCGAACCCTTGTGCTACTAACCTGGCTTTATGGGTAACAGTCCCATCCACACCTGTCTTAATTTTATAAATCCACTTACACCCTATGGCACACTCACCTGGTGATAATCTGACATTTTCAAAAACCTACAAACTGCAAAGATTTCAGTTCCTTATCCACTGCTTCCTGCCAAGCAGCCTGATCCTTAGCAGGATACAGTTTCAGTTCATTATAGTTAGTAGGAACTATATTTACTTGGCATGCTATACTAGCCTGAAATCTATCTGGTGGTTGTGTTACACGGGTTGAACATCTAGGCAACTCAGGGCTTACTGGTGGACTCTCATGTTCCACCTACTCCTGTTCTACCTCGTCCTGTGCCTGTTCTTCCTCTTTAATGGCTATTGATGGTTTAACTATCACATCATTAGGGATGACTTGGGTGTCAATAACAACATCATTGTTGGATTCCTGTTCTAGTTTATGCCACCCAACGTGCTCAAAAAATTTAGCGCTACAGTAAATATTAGTTGTGCCTGGATCCCAAAATCTAAACGATCTATGGTTGGCCTCGTAACCTATGAAAAATAATTTCCTAGCTCTATGTTGCCCTTTCATTCTTACCTGTGAGGGAATATGCACCCATGCTGGAGCTCCAAATGTGTGTAGATAACTTAAATTTGGTTTTCTGCCATGCCAACGAGTGAATGGCAATTCACCAGTTGTGTTCACCACATTGTTTAACACATGGTTGCTACACATTATGGCTTCACCCCACAGTGTTTCAGGCAAATCTGAATCAGATAACATAGTGTGAGCCATGGCTTGTAATGTTTGCCCTCTTCGTTCTATAAACGAGTTATGTTGTGGCCTGTCAGGTGCAGAACGCTTATGCTCAATACCAGCCAATTTCAACATCATTTGGAATCTGTTATAAATAAACTCAGTTCCGTTATCTGTAACTAAAGTAATTACCTTATGTCTCATTTTCCTTTCTGCAAATCTTAGCCAATTAAAGAAATGTTGGAACGTTTCTGTTTTGTTTTTCATTAGATAGCAGAAACCGTACCATGAGTAATGGTCCATTATACTCAAAACATAGCAGGCACCTCCCAAACTGGGTTTCTTAGGACCAATTATGTCAGCAAAAACAACCTCTAAAGGTTCTTTGGTCTTAAACCCATTCAGTCTGTTTGCTGGAGTAACCTTGCTGTTCTCCTGATTACAGGCATTACAGTTTAAGTACTTGCTACAGGGTTTTAATTTTACTCCCTCTGACAATTTGACAGTTTGTTTCAATATCTTGAAATTAATGTGCCCCAGACGTCTATGCAGTATACATTCGTCATGTGGCTTAACATTGTTATAAACGGAGTTAGCCATCTGCAACTGGTCATCATGTATAACATATAAATCACTCTCTAAAGTAGCAGTAACACTTTTACCCTCTTTCTCTATCATACAGTTATCTCCCCTAAAGGTTACTACATAACCAATATTAACTAAAGCCCTTACTGATAACAAATTAAATTTCAGTCTAGGTACATATAACATAGTTAAATGCTCATTTACACAAGAACAATATGCAGTACCTTCACCAGATGCGTTCATCTTCCATCCATTTGCCAATGATACATGTTGCTTACTCATGGACATCATTACAAACCTCTCTATTTTTAGTAATGCACTGCGATGCTCCACTATCAACAACCCACAAATCATGGTTTACAGTTGAATTGCTAGACATAGCTAAACTAACATTCTTTTTAGCCCTCTGGTATTCTGTCTTTTTCCTTTCTTACAGAATCTAGCTATATGTCCCCTAGCCCCACAAGAAAAACATTTCCTAACAGTATAGGCAGTTGAAAACAAATCCTCTTCTTGTGGTTGTTTCTCTCTCGGTCTCTTTCCTGCCTTCTTCTTGCCTCTTCTAATAATTGTCCGGTTATGTCAGTTAATGTCAGTTCATTTCTGGTCAGGACTTCCAGTGAAGATACGTAATCATCATAACTTTCATCCAATGAGGAAAGAATGATGTAAACCTGAGGCAGCTCTGAAAAAATTAGTTCCTTTTCATGTAGCTCTTGAAAAGTTCTTTTCATAAAGTTCAAATGAGCTAACTCCACTTTTCAGAAGACATCTCTCCTCCTCAGCTGGCCATTACTCCCTTTCCCGAAGGCAGTTGCAGCGGTGGTCAGAAATGGCCACCACAAAGAAGAACTCGACCGGAAAAGAATGTGCAGGAGGAAGATAAGAAGTGAAAGTTTTGGCTGACCGGGTTAAATTGTAAAAGCAACAACTAAGGTACCCTGGAATTTAAACTTACAAAAAATAACATCGCTCCCAAAGAAGAGTCGGAAGCAGCGAAGGAAAGTGAAAAGGGAAAGGTTTGGCTTTTTTTTCTCTCTCTCTCTCCTTCCCTATACTGACAACTAAGAGACTTAAATAAGAAATCGGAAAAATCCGCTTTGACATCAATAGGCAATTAAGATGAAAATAAAAATAAAACAAAATGCCAAAGGGATAATAAAGATTTCTGGACATTAAAATTTTTCTTTTTCATAAGCAGGAAGGGAGAGAAAAAGAATAAGGGCAGGATCTGGAAGAGGGAGGAGACTGCCTGGAATTAAAAAGAATCTACAGTAAAACTTCAACAAGACTTCTAAAAGATACATTTTAACTGAAACTTTGCAACTAAATAGTAGAACCCCAGGAAGAGAAAGTGAAAAAAAAAAGAGCAAAAAGAAACAGCTTGCGTGTATTTGGATTATTTCGTGATCCTTGGATTCTTGGTTATTATATTTGAATGACTAAAATCAATCGGATGGTTGTTTAAAAATTTATACAATGGCACCACTTCTGGATGAATTGAAAATGGAACTTAAAA